CTGACCCACAAGTTCCACTGAGTGCTCTGGGAACTCGCAACAGACCCCAGCCCTGCCTGCTATCTCTAAATCCAAGACCTGTGCCCCGACAGACAACAGACACAGGTACCCTCTTCCCAAGTCCCGAGAGCCCCCCCCCTCCCCGGACTGAGAAGGATTCCCCAACTGGTGGGTGAAGAGGGTTGGCTCCAGGCCAGAGTTGCCCTCCTCCACCCCATTTGCCGGCTTCACCGCCTTCTTCTTCAACAGCCCAGCCCGCCATGGCCCAGTTCCTGATGGTCACGGTAACCCTCGGTTGCATCAGCCTCCTCTACCTGCTCCCGGGCACGCAGTCTGGCGGCCTGAGCAGGGGACTGAAGCTCTCCAGACCCAGGTGAGTGAGTTTGGACCAGACTCCTCATGCGGACATAAGTTTTCTAGAACTCATCTCCCAGATCAAGGGCCACCTTCCTAGCTTCAGCGTTGCAAGAAAGAAGATTTTTTCCTTTGCATCGTTCTACTTGGGGTAGTTATTCCCACCCTACACACACACACACACACACACACACACACACACACACACACACACACACACACACGAGAGAGAGAGAGAGAGAGAGAGAGAGAGAGAGAGAGAGAGGAGAGAGAGAATAGCTTTTTTCATAAAAGGTCTGTTGGAGCAAGGGAGACTAGACACATTCTCAGGATGAACCCAAGGAAGTCTCTCTGAATTCTCAGAGCAGTGGCCCACAGAACCTAAGTGCTTTGGAGACCTTTGCCCATAGTGGTGCTGTTAATGGTACATGTGACTTAGGCTAAGGAGATGGTCAAGCTGTCAGTAAGCAAATTCAAAGGGGTAATGGGCTTCCCTCCTAGTCTTCAGATCCAGGACAGGCTTTGGGCTTCCCCTGGTCCTAGGCCAGGCTTTTGGGGAAGCTGTGGGCTTCCCGTGTCAGTGCCCTGAAACTGTGGAGAGAAGTAGGTGGGTTTAAGGGCCCTTGGAAGGCTATGCCAGACCGCTGAGTTTCCATCTCTCTTCCCCTTCTGCAGAGAATCCCCAGCAAAGAATCCTTCCAGTGGCCTGCAGCCTGGACACTCTTCACTCCAGCCTGTAGTCTGGAAGCCTCATCATGCTCCCCAGCCACAGGGAAGGGGCAATCCGACCCTTGCTATGGTTCATCTTCTTCAGAGTGGTGGCTCCCGACATCCAGGTCCCCAGAGACATTTGGGACCCCGAAGACCCCATGCCCAGCTTCTACGGGTTGGCTGTGTACTGGGCACATGCCAGGTGCAGAATCTCAGCCATCGCCTGTGGCAGCTCGTCCGGCCATCTGGCCGGAAGGACTCAGCTCCTATGGATCCCAGCAGCCCTCACAGTTATGGCTGATGTGGGTCCTAGACGGTCCACTTGGAGTGCTGTACTCCAATCCCAGAGCTGCAGCTGAGCTCCACATCCTGGCCCAGTTCTCTGAAGCTCCTGCTAGCAGCAATTCCTCATGGCTTTGGATACTGTAAACCTAAACCTATGAGGATATGTGGATCTAGTCTGTGGAATCTGCACCCCCAGGGACCTGTGCATCCCAGAACTGTGCACACCCCAGGAACAGGTGCTTGGCAGGAGTGTTGACAGTATCACAAGCCACAGAGAACTTGAGAGGGGGAGTGTGTCTAAAGAAATAGAGCACAAAGCTAGAGTCTTAATTAAACACAGCCCCGCCTATGACTAAGCAGGAGAAAGGCTAGAGTGGCCCCTGTGATGACCCCCACCCCCACTGGGAATTAAAGCCTAGCTATGGGCTAAAGCTATGGTCACTGTCTTGTGCAGTTTGCTCTTCTGAGTGACCTGGAATGGTGAGTTTTCCTTGTTTGCATCCTGTGGCAGGAGGGGCAGAAAGAAGGGCTATATACTGTAGTCCCTGAGACCAGCATCAGGGAAGAGACCTTCTGTGCCTGTTGTCCACCTGGAGCCCAGGCCACTGTGGCTATGGAGTCTACTGGACATTCTGGGATAAAGTACAACAGAGTAACCCTTCTTATCCTCAGGTCAGGGTAGGGGTGAGACAGTGTCCCATCTCGAAAAGGCTTAGTATGATCTACCCCTGAGCAAGAGGCCAGGTGACACATACCTGCAGTCTCAGCACTCAAAAGACTGAGGCAGGAGGATGACAAGCTCATGACCAAGTTACGTTATATAGCAAGACCCTATCTCAAACATCCAGTCAATAACAAAACTATTGCCTGGTGGTAGTGGTGCACCAAAGACCCAAACCTATCTCAGGAAAGCTGGAGTCATTTAAACAAAGTTGTCTCCATGTCCTACCCACCCCCAGTCCCATGAGGACATCCAGCAGGATCAGGAGCAGGGATAATGGAGTCTGGCAGTCCAAGAAGGGGAGATGGACCACAAGTGACAATCAAGACCAAACCAATCATAATTACAAGTTCAAGACCAGCTTTTGCTACAAAAGCTGTTTAAAAAAAAAGTGAGCGTGAGGGTGGGCATCAATCACAGCCTGGAAATAGGCACTTGGTACAGGTTCTTTGCGCATGTGATTTGACCCAAACTTTGCAATTGTCTGGTCAGAACACAGGGTTCCAAGAGTTGTTTGTTCCTTGGCAACTATTCACAGTACTTGCATGCACTTTCCTGCACCACTCTCCTTACCTCCCTGGTAGGAGCGCTTCATTGCTCCAGATCTATAAGCAGCCGCACAGAGGTCAGCGACATGCCCCAGTGACTACAGTATTCATGCTCAGAGTCAGGCCTACCTTTCAGTGACCAGAGATGATCACCAGTTAGGAGTGTCCTGAAAGTACCCCTCTGGACCCCATCCTTGTGCTTACCCAGGGTTTGTATACTTCAGGTAATTCATCTTCCTGTTTAGCGTTGTCCCTGCATTGCTGGAATAGAGACCTCCATGCATAGAGAGGCCAAAACAGGAAATGTAATAGGAGGTGGTGTGCTGAGAAGCCTAGCAAGATAGAAAGGCAGGCTACCTGGAAGAAGCCAATGAGGTCCAAGATAAGTCTGGGTACAGCAAGGGCTCACCAGGGTCAGGATTTAGAAGTACCAAGTCCCTGTGCTCACAGAAGGTATGGGCTGTAATGGTATGTCAACAACAGTTGGCGGGTATGTGAATGGGACTAGAGAAGCCCCTGATGCAAATCCCTGAACTGTGTGTCCTGTGGCCACTGAAAGGCAATGGTAAAGGTAGGTGGGCAGTAAAGACAAACTGTAGGGTCTGCAGTAAAGATGAGAAGTCAACTGAGGACAGACAGAAAATGGGTCTAAAGGACCCAAATTTGCCAGGACCCTCCTTGGTACCCTGGATCCTGGGCATGATCCAGTCTTGTACTTTTCTTGAGCCTGTGTGGTCTGTCCTCCAGCCCAAGATGCCCCCTCTTCCAGGAGCACCTCCCATCATCCCCATACCTCTTTCACTGACAATCAGCATCTTTCTGACATGGACTCCCAGACCTCTCCAAGGTTGATCTCTAGAATCCCATGAGTGGTCAGGAACTTTGCATGAACGGGGAGGACCACTGGCATCTTGTGCAGTGTCAGGAGGTTGCCAGTTATGACCCTTGTATCTGGTGTGATGCCAGCCTCACACTGCGCTTGGCTACACTTGACTAACTCGAGATGCCCCCATGCAGAGGTTCAGTGGCAGTGTGGCCCTCCCCCACCTGGCCCCAAGGCCACTTTCTAACTGTTTTCACACTTAAAAGTCATACACTCCTCAAGGACTTGTCCAGGCACTGGTACCCACCCTTGATCGCTCTGAAGGTCATGACTCTAGCCTCCTCCAAGCAACCCTCACCCTCATCTGGCCAGTGTTCCCTGAGCATGTAGCACACGGACATACTGGAGACTTCAGCTTTCCCTGGGAAGAGAGAGAGGGGAAAGCATGGAAAAGGTAGTTAAGGTGAGGCATATCATAGGATGGACATGGGCACAGGATAAGGAAGACAGGACCTTGCAGGTGTCAATCAATGCAGGCAGTGATCTGCAAAGAGACAAGAATGAAAACCCAGTTCAGATTGACTTTGTCAGCCTGGATCAGACTTCAGGGAGTCTAATGCCAGGCCATTCATTGTCAGCACATTTTAAACTCAGAACAATTTGGGCAAAGGTTTCCAGGCAACAACCAGTCCAATTGCAGGTACACAATAAAGCTTACAGTGTGACTGCATAGAAGGTCTTTTACAAAGTACACGTGACCACGAGGGTGACTTTGATAGCTAAAAGGCCTAGAATCTAGTGTGGTCTCTGACCAATAGCATAGAGGTCAGCAGGATATAAAGTACATGTGACATGTCCCCTAAGGATGGGAAATGGTCTAGGGATGAAAGAATCTGGAACAGCCATCCTGGGAAGTTAGGGTGAGGTGTGTCTCCACAGATAACAAAAAGTCACCAGGCCATTAACAAAAATCCACTCTCAGCTTTCTGGATGGAACTCTGGTAACAGTTTTGTATCTCTTCCATTGAGGAGACACCCCTGCATGAGGAGCATTCCTGGTTTTCTTAGTGCTTCTCTGTGGGTACAAGGACCTTTGTGCCCCCAACATCTTCTCCCTTCTAATTTTTTTTCTTTATGAGACAGTGTTTCTCTGTGTAACAGGTCTGGCTGTCCTGGAACTCACTCTGTAGACCAGGCTGGCCTGGAACTCACAGAGATCCACCTGCCTCTGTCTACCAAGTGCTGGGATTAAAGGCATGCACTACTGCTGCCCTGGCTTTCCCCTCCCCCTTCTCTGATGAAGAAAGGAAATGAATAAAGAGCTATTTGACAAAGTTGTTTCAGATATGATACAATGGATTTCCACTGGGGTTTCCAGGGCCTATGTCATGTCTGGGGGTTGTGCTCTGTAGCTGAGTAGTTAGGGAAAGGCACCATGCAAGTCTGTAGTGTATTTTAAGTACTGATCTTTATATGTCTGACATCATCAGAATTCTCAAGACACAGACAGCCATATTTTCAGGTGTCAAGCAGATGTCCATTCACTACTAATCATGCATTAGAAATTTGAAATACTGAGTGCTGGCAGCACATGCCTTTAATCCCAGCACTCTGAAGGCAGAGGCAGGTGGATCTTTGAGTTTGAGGCCAGCCTGGTCTACAGAGCTAGCTCCAGGACAGCCAGGGCTGCACAGAGCAACCCTGTCTTGAAAAACAGAAACAAAAAAAGTTTGAAATACTGTATAACATTTGTCTCTAATAGACAGGCTCTCATGAGACATCTTTAACTTTCTTGCCAAAGTTTGATCATTAATCAGGCCAAGGGCAATAAATAAATAAATAAATAAATAATCTAATTAACAGTGGTCATTAACTTTTAAAGATTTAAACTTAAGGCTTTTAATTTAAGATTTGGAATCTTTAAAATTTAGGGCAATCTTAATTACGAGTTTAAGAAGAATATCCTACTAGATAACAGCATACTTAGAAGTACCCATGAAATAATCAGAAAACCCTGAAGAAGAAAATAACTGGGTTTTCCCATGTAAGCGTGAAATCGCCTATTTAGCAATATCAAAGACAACAGTTTCATGGAGGAAGTACTTGCTTTGGCTTTAGTTTTTACTACAGTCTGAAGACAGTATTAACAGATTTTCAGGCTGTACCAAAAATAATTTTAGGTGAAAACTCCAAAATAATCTAATTTTTATTGATTATCTTTTTTGGTTAAACTCCAAGGGGATTTAAGAAACATACAATTGCCAGGCATTGGTGGTGCACACTTTTAATTCCAGCACTCAGGAGGCAGAGGCAGGCAGATCTCTGTGAGTTCAAGGCCAGCCTGGTCTACAAGAGCTAGTTTCAGGACAGCCTCCAAAGCCACAGAGAAATCCTGTCTCAAAAAAAAAAAAAAAAAAAAAAAAAAAAAAAAAAAACCCATAAAATTATGTTTGCTTTGTTTATCTGTTTTTGCTTTATGTTTTTTGTTTTCAAGACAGGGTTTTTCTGCATGACCCCATAGATCATGGATCTAGCTCTATAGATAAGGCTGGCTTTGAACTCAGAGATCTGCCTCCCCAATGTTGGTATTAAGGGCATGTATCACCATGCCTCATCATGCCTGGCTGGCAATGCTTGCTTTTTTTTTCCATATATTATTCAGAAAAATATCCTAAAATACTTTGATTCCAAGTTATTCCTATTTTAAAGTCTATCCCAAGACTGTTTACTTTTTTAAAATTTTTTTATTATGCTGTACAGATGCATAATTTGACCCGGCAACCATCTATTAAGTATACCTGTTTTTTAAAAACAACTTGTTTATTTTTATTTTGTGTGCATTGGTGTTTTGCCTACATGTAAGTCTGTGTGTGGGCAGTGGATCCTGGAGTTGCAGGCAGTTGTGAACTGCCATATGGATGCTGGTAATTGAACCAGTGTCATATGGGAGAACAGCCAGTGCTCTTAAATCATTGAGCCATATCTCCAGCCCCAAGTATACCTTCTTTTAAACAAACTTTGTTTTTAGTTACTTGTTTTAACCTTGAAAACATATGTAGAAGGCTTGTTTTTTTTAATGAATCATATTTGCACTTAGTATGACTACAAACTTAGTTTTGCGCACATTAAAGGTTTTGATCAGCAGGGTGGTATGACACATGCCTTTCATCCCAGTATTTGGGAGGTGGAGGCAGGAGGATCTCTGAGTTCTAGGACAGCTTGGTCTACACAGTGAGTTTCAAGTCATCTAGGACTGTTACACAGAGAAAAACCAAACCTGTCTCGAAGAACCAAACAAAGTTTTTGATCATTTATAAGGTGATTAACTATTTGCATGTCTTAATTCTCTTTTGACAGTTTATAACAACTTAGTAGCTATTTTATATACATAAAATAATAAACAGAGGGCTCAAGAAGACTATGACATTTCATAGGTTGCTGTCTTTTACCAACTACAGCTGAAACTTCCTGGTTTTTCTCCTAGGCATGTTTTTCCTGTTAGTGTTTTCTAGAGAAGGAGGTGCCAGCAGTTGAGTATTATTGCTGTTTCAATAAGATTGGATTTATTGCCTGGTGGTGGTGCCAGCAGCGGTGTACACCATTAATCCCAGCACTTGGGAGGCAGAGGCAGGAGGATCTCTGTGAGTTCAGGCCAGTCTGATCTACAAAGTGAGTTTCAGGACAGCCAGGACTGTTAAACAGAGAAACCCTGTCTGGAAAAAAATTTAAAAAAGAAGAGCTCTCCCCCCCAAAAAAAAGTTGGGTTTATTTATTTTTTAAAATTTACTTATTTATTATGTATAGTGTTCTATCTGCTGTACACCTGCAGACCAGAAGAGGGCACCAGATCTCATTACAGATGTTTGGAGCCACCATTTGGTTGCTGGGAATTGAACTCAGGACCTCTGGAAAACTAGTTAATGTTCTTATCCATTGAGCCATCTCTGCAGCCCCTATTTATTCATTTACTTAAAGCAAGGATCACACTAAGCTTTTTCCCCACTTTGTCTCATTTCCATATCTATCTCTAAACCACACATGTCCTAACCATTCCAACTGTCTTTTAATTCATTCTCAAGTACCTCATTCCAAATGTTTCCTTCCACTATATCCTTTCTACAATCACAATCCTTTTGCAGTATTTTTTTCTCTCTCTCATTAGGTCCCTTTCCATTCTCAGTGCATCTCTATTCTTCATGTGCTTATTTTTACATGAGGTCAGTTAATGTTGAGCCTTAATCTTCCTTAAGGATACTCACTTTGGGTAAGGATATGAAAATTGGGGTTCCAAAGCTACCCATGACTGGAAGACTGATTCTTCCTTAGTCCATCCAATAAACTATCATTTGAATTTAAATATATAGCAGTCAGTTAAAATATGCAATGGCAGGGCTGGAGAGATGGTTCAGAGGTTAAGAGCACTGGCTGCTCTTCCAGAGGTCCTGAGTTCAATTCCCAGCAACCACATGGTGGCTCACAGCCGTCTGTAATGAGATCTGGTGTCCTCTTCTGGCCAGCAGGAATACATGCAGGCAGACTACTGTATACATAATAAATAAACAAATCTTTAAAAAGTACTCCATAGCTAAGGAACATCTAATAAAAGCTGACTGGTTATGGTGAGTATGGTGAGTTTAGATGGCTGAGCTGTAAAATTCAGAGTGAATACAATATCACGCCTGTGTGTGTGTGTGTTTGTGTATAGAGTGTGTGTAGTGTGTGGAAATTGTATATAAAACATAAGCTCCTTGTCTCTTTGAAAAGCCATCTATAATAGCATTAAAAACAATCTGTATAGGATTCTTGATGCAATTTTAGACAATAAACAGGGGGTGTTTTCTTTCTTCTTTCTTAAAGATTTATTTATTATGTATACAGTGTTCTGCATGTATGCCTGCAGGCCAGAAGAGGGCACCAGATTTCATTAAGGAGGGAGGGTTGTGAGCCACCATGTGGTTACTGGGACTTGAACACAGATCTTTTTAAAGGTCAGCCAGTACTCTTACCTCTGAGCCATCAGTCCAGCAGCTCAAACATTCTTTTCTTTTCTTTTTTTCAACACAGGGTCTCTCTGTAGCTTTGTAGCCTGTCCTGGAACACACTCTGTATCACTCTGTAGACCAGGCTCAAACTCATAGAGATCCCCTGTCTCTGCCCCTCTCCTTGAGTGCTGGGATTAAAGATGTGCACTACCACCTGGCTTAGAAAGTCTTAAAAAGGATGTACTACCACCGTTTCTTATAAAGGGAATATTTAAGATAATTATCTATAGAGCCCAAGTAATATACTAATTTGACCTGCTAAGTATTAACTGTATGAAACAAATAATTTACTGGAAAATTAATTATTATGAGCTCTTTCTCAGTACAAGATTATTTGTACGAACTACCAATTTAGCAAAATTATTTAATAAACTAATAGCTTGCTCTGTTTCAGAAGTTACATTTTTATAGAATTTAAAGGAGAGTTTCCAGATAGCAACTTAACAAGCAGAGCCAAATCCTCAGTAGTGATAAACAGATGAGAACATGCCCAATGATATAGTTCAAGATTATGGATTTTGCTCTGCCAGTTTATTCACTATGAAAATTAAGCATTCATTTAAGCATCAATTAGGCAATCAGAAGAGAACATCCTCCATATAATGAGTGACTAACACCTCTGGGAATTAAACAGTATTGTCTTAATGCTTTATACCCTAGTTGGGATTGTTTCTGAACTAGAAGTTGGGCTAGTTTTGATTTTATTTTTCTCCCATGAAGGGGTCATTGATACTGAGTTATTCTTGCTATTAGGGGGGAAACTCCATGATGGTACCTTTAATATTGAGTTATTCCTACTATGATGAAAAAACAGAAAAACAAACCAATCAATCAAACAAACAAAAATCCAACAATTCTCCTTCCTTACTAAATAATTGACAGAGACTTTATTATCACCCTTCTACTATCTCTACTTTAGTTCCTATGCACATAAAGTTGCACAGTTGTAGCTCTGAATATTTTGTTCCTTTGGATCTTAACAAATATTTTAATAACAAAACAAAGTGCTTTGTCTCGGGGTACTGAGAAGAGCCCCTATTTAGTTCTACCCTTTCACTTTAAGGTTGAGATCCCTTTTCCTGTGAGAGGACTGACTTTCCCTAACCCTCATTTTCAAATGAAAGAAAACTTTCCTCACGTCTCCCAAGGGTGGTGTTGCCTCAGGTTTTTGGTGCCAGCTGAAGGGGACCCTGTAGGTGCCAGTGCAGGCAGTGACCTGAGAATGAAAACTGGGTTTAGACTGACTTCACCAGCACATTCATTGTTCCCACATTTAAAACACAGGACAGTTGTGCGGTGGTGGCACACACCTTTAACCCAGCACTTGGGAGGCAGAGGCAGGGGTATCTCTGAGTTAAAGGCCAGCCTGGTCTACAGATTGAGTTCCAGGACAGCTGGGACTGTGGACTGTTGCTCAGAGAAACCCTATCTAGAAAAACCAAAACCAACCAACCAAACAAACAAACAAACAAAAAACTCAGAACAATTTGGGCAAAGGTTTCCAGGCAACAACCAGTCCAATTGCAGGTACACAATAAAGCTTACAGTGTGACTGCATAGAAGGTCTTTTACAAAGTACACGTGACCACGAGGGTGACTTTGATAGTAAAAGGCCTAGAATCTAGTGTGGTCTCTGACTGATAGCATAGAGGTCAGCAGGATATAAAGTACATGTGACATGTCCCCTAAGGATGGGAAATGGTTCAGGATAATTATTCTGGAATTTGGGTGAGGTCTGTCTCTGTAGCAAAAGTGGGTGAGGTGTGTCTCCACATATAACAAAAAGGTCACCAGGTTACTAACAAAATCCACTCTCAGCTTTCCGGATGGAATGTAGGTATCTGTTTTTTTTATCTCTACCATTGAGGAGACACCCCTGCAAGACCAGCATTCCTGGTTCTCTTAGTGCTTCTCTGTGAGTACAAGGACCTCTGTGCCTTCAACAAGGGGGGATCAGAGGTCTGGCTATGGGGTCTACCTGAGTGATTAGTCACTCTAGGACAGAGGAGGCAGAAGAGAAGGCAAAGGGGGCAGGGCTGGGGGGGTTCTGTTTCTGTGCTGATATATTAACTTGCCGAGGCCAGGGGGAAGGTGGATGGTCACTTATTACCAAATGTCAAGGCCAAGGAGATAGGTATTATCCGGTCAGTTACATAACCTTTAAACATTTAAAAGGCTCCTTAGCCTAGGACCTTACCTATCTGCAGGCTCTGCTTCTGATCACTGCTCCCTCTCAGGATGAAGGTGGATATGGTAAGTACCAACCCGTGCCCGTGGTCACTGCCCTCAGTGGAAGAGGTAGCAAGTACTGTTTTCTTCATCTGGTTTATACTAGCCCTGCCCCTCAAGGTCACAGAGCTAACTCCTTCCTGTTGTAGTCCAGCTGGGGTGGGGGTTAGAAGCACCCCCTGACTCCCTGTGGAGTCAGGCCTCCTCCTAAAATTACCTTCTATCTGCAAGGATATCAAGCAGATGGGGGGCTGCTGTCTCTTAATTCGTACCCTCTCACACTGGAAGCAGGCATCGGGTGACACTGGCTGGCTGGTGACGTTCTGACATGCCCACAAGATGAGGATTTTTATCTAGCCCCTTGGGATTATAATGTCTTCCCTTCTTTATGGACCCGGCTGGCAGTGAAATGGGTCAAACTCCTTTCCAACCAGGGCCCAGACCCTTCCCTGGTCTATCGACCTGATGTGGACCCAGAGCTGGCCAAAAGCAAGGACAGCTTCCGAAACTACACCGTGAGTGTACCCGTGTTTCACCCCTCTCTCTTTCTCTACCTGGTCTCTGATCCAACCCTGTGGAAAGCAGCCCTTCTTCATCCCACAGCTCTAAGGGGGATTATGGGGAAGCCCCCATTGCACTTTATACCTGTGAGGCTAGGCAGGCAGGAGGGGAGGCCAAGGCCTCCAGTGTGCTGGGCCAGTTTGGCACATATCCTGTGCTGATTGGCTTGCAGGAGGGCCCGCTGCTGGATCGAGTCTTTACCACCTACAAGCTCATGCACACACATCAGACCGTGGACTTCGTCAACAGGAAGGTAAAAGTTTCCTACTCCTAATGCAGACTCTGGGGGCGGGAACCTCCTTGGCTTGGGCCCAATGTGCCCAGGAAGTGACCTTGCTCTCTAGTCCCCTCTTGGAGAACGGTTGATTTTTCCTTTCTCCCTTCTCATTAGCATATCCAGTTTGGAGGCTTCTCATACAAGAAAATGTCAGTCATGGAGGCTGTGAACATGCTAGATGACCTGGTGGATGAATCTGACCCGGATGTAGATTTCCCCAACTCCTTTCATGCATTCCAGACAGCGGAGGGAATCCGGAAAGCCCACCCAGACAAAGGTGTGCCCTACAGCTGTGGTGGGGAAGGGAGCTATCATTGCCCTTGAAGGTGGCCTGAGAGGCCCGGTCCTTTCCCACAGGCCTCACCATGGGAGAAGCAGACTCCTGGACTCCTTGCATTCTGCTTAGAGCCTACTCTGCCTACCTTTCTTCCTGCAGCTTCTAGCTCATATGTCCCTTTTCCGCAGACTGGTTCCACCTGGTTGGATTTCTGCATGATCTGGGGAAGATCCTGGCTCTGTGGGGGGAACCTCAGGTGAGGGCCAGGTGTCGGGAGTGGGGCAGCTTCATTTAGCACTGTGCTTGGGGCACTAGGAGAGGGAGCAGACCTGTTTACCCCTCACCCAGAGCTACCTGTCCTTCCCTAGTGGGCCGTTGTTGGAGACACTTTTCCTGTGGGCTGCCGTCCCCAGGCCTCTGTAGTATTCTGTGACTCTACTTTCCAGGACAACCCTGACCTCCAGGACCCTCGATACAGGTAGTTTGAAATAGCACCTCATTTTACTGAAGAAAAGTTTTTACACTCTGATAAACCTCTCTGCTGATGCAGCAATCAAAATCAAACTGAATTAGAAAAAGCCCACATTTGATGGATACAACACTCCCAGGTGGCCTTCCAGATGTCTGTTTTGGTGGGGGGCAGTTTAAATACCCTGTGGGAGTAGTCTTGAGCATGTCTGGGAGAGGAGTCATCATTTGTAGGACTTTTTGAGATGCTTCAGGGTTTGGAGGGAGATGGGAGGGGGGGTTGGGTAGAACTTCCACTGGAACATTCCAGACTCTGAGTATATGGATGCCAGGGGCTGGGGTGAAGCTTCCACCATAACACTCTCCTCAGTACAGGGCCACAGGTGGTCTTTTCCCATTACTGCCCAGACCTTCTCATGCTCATCTATTGATCTTGCAGCACAGAATTTGGTATGTACCAGCCCTACTGTGGACTTGAGAATGTTCTTATGTCCTGGGGCCATGACGGTAAGGACTTCTAGACAGGCAAGGAGGCAGTGTGGGGATGGAGGAAAGGGCTGCCAAGCCTCTGGGCACCTGGCTGTAACACCCCCACTCCTGCAGAGTACCTCTACCAGATGATGAAGTTCAACAAGTTCTCCCTACCCGCCGAGGTAAGTTGGGGGAGAGCCTGGTTTGGTGCTTAGCCCAGTCTGGCCAGTCTGGCAGACCTGAGCATGCTGGATGTGGCATCCACAGGCCTTCTACATGATCCGATTCCACTCCTTCTATCCATGGCACACGGGTGGTGACTACTTACAGCTGTGCAGTCAACAAGACCTGGATATGCTGCCCTGGGTGCAAGAGTTCAAGTACATAGTTCCTCAAGGGGTGTGGGCAGTTATGGGGACTTGGGGTTGAAGAAGGACCTTTCATGACACCCATGGCTCCTCTCCCATGTCTGCAGCAAGTTTGACCTCTACACCAAGAGCCCTGAGCTACCAGATGTGGACAGCCTGCGACCCTACTATCAGGGGCTGATTGACAAGTACTGCCCAGGCATCCTGAGCTGGTGAATGGTTTCTAATACCCTCCCACTGTTGAAGCAGCCCACTCCACCCTTGCTCAGGGCCCCAGACACCTGTCCACAGTCCCCACAAGTGAGGTCACTTGTGCCAGGTATCAATAAAGACAGAAAATGCTTACAGAGCTGACTTATCACTGGGGCCCACGTTGTGGTAGCAGGGGAGGTCCCAGCACAGGAATACGACTACTATGAACACACTGCTTATCCTCTTGGCTCCATGATAGTCATTCAACTCACCCCCCCCCCCATTCTAGAAATAGTCACTAGTCATCTTGACTCAGCTTCCTTCAACAGAGGAGGGGGAGGGGAAATCGGGGCAGTGGTGGCCATGTCTTTAATACCAGCACGCAGGAGGCAGGGGCAGGTGGATCTCTGTGAGTTTGAGGACAGCCTGGTCTACAGAGTGAGTTCCAGGACAGTCAGAACTACTACACAGAGGGAAATAAATAACTCAGTAAAATATGGGCAAAGATAGAGCTAGAGAGATAAGATAGCTCAGTGGTTGAGAACATTTGCTCTTGCAGAGGACCAGAGTTTGTTCTAGAACCCACATGGCAGCTTGTAACCACCTGTAACTCCAGTTCTAGGGGATCTGATGCCCCCTCTGTCTTCTAGAGGCTCCTGTAGGCTTGTGGTACACATAAAACATCATTTTTAATTCTTTTCTCACTCATTATATCCTAACCACAGTGTCCCCTCCCTCCACTCCTCCCAGTCCCACCCCTCCACCTCCCTTTCCGGCAGATCCACTCCTCTTCCATTTAGAAAAGAGCAGGCCTCCCAGGGATATCAACTGAACACAGCTTAACAAGTTACAATAAGGCCAGACACAAACCCTCATCTCAAGGCTGGACAAGCCAACCCACTATGAGGAAGAGTCCTAAGAACAGGCAAAGGTCCAGAGACACTCCCACTTTTAGGAGTCCCATAAGAGACAAGGCTACACAACTGTAACGTATATGCAGAGGACCTAGGTCAGACCCATATAGGCTCCCTGGTTGTCTCTGTGAGACCCTCTGAGCCCTGCTTAGTTGATTCTGTGGGCCATGTTCTCATAGTGTCCTTGACCCCTCTGGCTCCTACAACCTTTCCTCTCTGTCTTCTGTGGGGTTCCCTGAGCTATGCCTAATGTTTGGCTGTTGGTCTCTGCATCTGCTTCTATCAGTTGCCAAGTAAAGCCTCTCTGATGACAACTGGGATAGGCACTGATCTATGAGTATAGCAGACAGGGCTTCTCTTTATAGCCCTAGCTGTGCTGGAAATCACTATGAACCAGGCTGGCCTAAAACTCAGAGATCCCACTGCCTGGTTTTCCTTTTTTTTTTTTTTTTTTTTTTTTTTTTAACAGATATTTTTTAATAGGAGTGGTGAGAGGGCTCATTTGGTAAAAGTGTTTGCCAGCAAGCCAGAAGACCTGAGTTTGATTGTTGGAACCACATGGTGGAGAACCAACTCAACAGCAGTTTCCTCTGACGTCCACATGCACCATGTGCATGTACTACATACTATACATAAATAAATGTAATAAAATTTTAAGTGTCTTTAACATACATGCACAAGCTATATAAGTATGTTCATTAACTAACACATGTGTTCAGCATACTTCAAAATATCATCTATCATAAATATATACAACCTTTGCCAATTTAAGAGACAAGAGAAGCAGAATTAATCCTAGATCTTGGGATGTAGAGGCCAGAGGATAGTGATTGATCAAGACCAATCTTAGTTACAAGGTGAATTCAAGGTCAGCCTGGGTCTGTCTCAAATTAAAAAAAAAAGAAAGAAAGACAACCAGCCTGAGGATATAGTTCAGTGGCATAGAGCTTACTGTTATGTTCCCAGTCTTGGATTTTATTCCCAGCACCAGAAAGCAAACAATCAACAGCAATATAACCCCAGAAATTTGTTATCTCAAATTTAGAAGTCCAAAAGTGAAAAATGAACATTTGGGAAGAACTGGTGGTTTTTGGTGTTTGTTCCCTCCACCCTCCCCCATTTCTCCCAGCTCTCTGGTGGCTGTGTCTTTGCACTGACTTCAGGTCTTCTGGGTGTGGACAAAGGCTAAATGCTGCTGTGACACTTTGGGATGGCATTTAGGGACTACTGGAGAAAATCCCAGATGATCTCACCTCAAAATCTGTCACTTAAATCATTGCTGCAAATTTGCTTTTTCTAAATAGCACAACTCACAAGTTATGGAGACTTCATTTGGAATTTGTAGTGCTAGAGATTGAAGGTGGGGCTTGGTGCATTCTGAGGATTCGATGTGAGGACCTTTGGGGGCTGTTTTTCACTTTACCTCAAAGACTATACTTGTGGCAATATATTATTTATAATTTATTAAAGCTCACCTGATGATTCAGAAAGCAAAGTCAGCCTCAAGCTTTAGAGATCAGGCAGGAGTAGTATACACTTTTAATTAAGAGGTAGATGGATCTGTTAGTTCAAGGCCACCATAGCCTACACAAGAGTAAAGAGTAACAGAGCTCATGCCTTTGATTCCCAACACCTGGAATCACACATCTTTAATCACAGCATTAGGGAGCTATTTAAGACAGGAGCAAGGTCTCAGAGCTGACATTCATTCTCCAACCACATTGAGAATAGGAAGACATTGAAGTCTCAGGATTCTCTAGCCACACTGAGGAGAGGCAGCAGTGTGAGGTTTGGTGGAGCCAGGATCACCTTTCACTCAGTCTTAGGTAGAGGTAAGAGGCCAGCTGCTTTGCTTTTCTGATTTTCAGATTGAACCCCAGTATCTGTCTTGGATCTTTTATGTTTCACGCTAGACTTGCATTTCTCCAAGGCCCTTTGGTTTCTCAGGTTGGAAATCATGCTTCAAATCTACATGGGGGGCTGCATGCAATGACTTAGTGTGAATAAATACAGTTGGTTTACTATCCCACTCCCACACCTCTGTCTCTACTTGCTATGAAATCCAGGCTGGTTTGAAATTTGAGATCCTTCTGCCTTGGTCCCTTGAGTTCTGTGGTGATGGGTATGAGCCACTGTATCTGACCTGATCACCTGTTTCTTCAACATCAATTCCCACTCTGGCTCTGGTCATTGAACACGGTATTGCTTTTGTTGTCCTCCTGGCTATTGCTCCCAGAACCTGTGTCTCTTGTAGACTCTTTCCTAAGTCTGTCATCCCTAAAAAGCCCCCCCCCCAAGGTGTCATGGGAGGATGGCAGAGCACCAGATTCTGTGCACTCAAGGGGAATGTCATACCTTTCTGGGGACTCAGGTTGCTCGGACTGCTGTGGTGCCTGAAGAAAGGAATGGGGGTGTGTGTCTTGGCTTTTCCTTGACTCCCTTCCAGCCTTACCACAGCCCTTGAAGTTCCTGTTGGCTGTTCTCTGCTATTCTTCTGGTCTTCCTATGCAGACTTTGGCAACAGAAAAACAGCCCCTGGTTTCTGCTTACTTCCTCTAAGAGGCTGCAAGGCCAAAGCTATTTTGATGGGATACTGAAACACCATCACAACGATGTTTTCCTTCAGTCACTCACAATGACAAAACTACCTGCATACATTGAGACAGTGACATCATCTTTGCTGGCCACGTTTTTTCATTTTCTTTTCTTTTTTCTTTTTCTTTTTTGTGAGACAGACTTTCTCTGTGTAACAGCTGGGGCTGTCCTGTTACTTTCTTTGCAGACCAAGCTGGTCCCCAACTCACAGAAATCAGCCTGGCTCTGCCTCCCAAGTGTTGGGATTAAAGGTGTTATGTCACCATGCCTAGCTGCTGGCCATGTTTTTCAGTACTGTTTTCAGAGCTGAAAAGGGGGCTAGAACGATGGTTCAGCGGTTAAGAGCACTGGCTGCTCTCTCAGAGATCCCGAGTTCAATTTCCAGCAACCACATGGTGGCTTACAACCATCTATAGTGGGATCTGATGCCCTCTTCTGTCATAAAGGCATACATGCAGATAGAGCACAGGTATACATAAAAAAAAAAAAAAAAAAAACATAGTGCATAAGAAGACCCCCCCCCCCCGCCAAAAAGAAGCAGAAGGGTGTCTAGAATTAAAAAAAGAAAGCAGAACACATTACTAGGGACTAAGAAGAGTTTTTGTTTAATGGATACAGGTTTTCTCTTGGGGTATTGTTAAAGTTCTAGAAACAATGGCAAGAGACTATAGTTATAAAATATTATGAATGTAGTTAATGCTACAAAACTTATACCTAAAAATGCTGCAGGCGCATCAATTAAGATCGAGTGGCTGCAAGCTGGGAGTGGTGGCGCACGCCTTTGATTCCAGCACTTGGGAGGCAGAGGCAGGCGGATCAACAATAGAGGTGTGGACCAACAATAGAGCTGGAATAAAGGAAGCTGTACTGCAAGATCCCAGGAAGAAGGGACTGATAGCTTGGCCCTAGAGGAATGGACTCCAGCTCTTCTTTGTCCTCTTTCCAGGACAGAGCTATGGGTGACCGCGTGCATCTTCTTTCTTCCATCCAAGGCCTGGCACCTTTGCTAACATAACTATTTAGAGGCTGGGCGGTGGTGGCACACACCTTTAATCCCAGCACTTGAGAGGCAGAGGCAGGCGGATCTCTGAGAGTTAAGAGGTCAGAGGCCAGCCTGGTTTACTATAGAGTTCCAGGAAAGGCTACACAGAGAAACCATCTCAAACCTCCCCTCAGCCCCCCAAAACCGTAATCATCTAGTAGTCTTTCTCTCTTTTATCTTTTCACACACTGCCCTTTCTGAAGACCATAAAATAAAGCAGGAGGTGAAGAGAGGGATGTGTTCTGGAAAATTCCCTGGTCCTTGGGTGGTTTTAGTTTCGTCTTCCTCCATTGGTCTCACAGCCCTCATTGTATAGGTCTGCCAGGCTGTGCCATATTGCCACATCTAGGCTTCTTGTAACCAGGCCTTTTGTTTATTTTTTGGAGAAGACTGAATGACAAGGAGGGAGCCCATTTAGCTGGGTCAGTAACCAGTCTAGTCTATGCTGACTGTCTTTAGGCCTCTCTAGAAGGAACCACCAGCAAAGGGGTATGTACAAATTGTGCCTTTATTGGTACAGTCTGAGGGGTAGGTGGGCACCATCACACGGGCCCACTTCCCTTCACTCCTAGCCACAGTAAATCCAGCTCATCCCCTCCACAGTAGGGCTGGATAGGGACTCCAGATTCAGGCCTCTAGATCCATGGGTACACTGATTACAATGTTCCAGGAAAGTCCTCAGCGAGGCCACATGCCCACTTCTGGGCTAGTTGCCAGCACAGTGGAAGGTGACTAGAGGAGGATGTGGTTGGTGCTGAGGGACTAGCAGGGCTCAAGGGAACACCAACAGTCCTCAGGAGTAGCACTCCAACCTGTATCTGCCCTGGCAGGACTGCCCAAGGCACAGTGGCTGGGCTGTGAAATGAGATGGATGGAATTCTAGGGAAAGGATTCCATCAGGACATGTGGCTGGCTGACAGCATATGAAGCTATTTTTTCTTCCGGGGGGCCCCAGAGTCACTGCTGTTGCTGTTGGGGGCAGTCTGCTCAGAGGCAGCTCTGGAATCCTTTTTGGAAGTCTGCTTACGTTTTTCCTCTCTAGGCAGTTTTGAGGACTGGAGTGGGCGGGGGGCAAGTAGGGTCTGTACAACTCTGACAGTCACCACAGCCCCCAAGAGTCCCCACAGCAGGATGGGTGGCTCCAGAGGAGTCAGCTGCATCCGCACCCAGTTCAGTGTCTGTGTGAGAGCATTGCTGGGGCTGCGGGCCCGGAGTGGACTCTTCTCCTATGGAGATAAAACCAAGAAAAGCCTAGAAGATTTACTCCTGCAACAGGCAAGCACCCTACTACCTCCCAGTCCACCTGAAGCCTTCATACCTTAAGTCCAAACTGTTGGAGCAGTGTTTCCAGCATTGGGTCTCCCAAGGATACAGAGGGGAAGAATTCCTCTACCCATTGGCGGTGCCACCATTGGCTATAACAGAACCGAACAGTCAGCATGTGGCTATAGCCCAGGCCTTGGTACACTACCCATCATCCTTGCCTTACCTGTGCTCCCCAGGCTTTGAGAACCAGTACTTATAGCGCTGGGCCCGAAGGTAGGTGGGTGGCTGCTCATGAAACGGGTACTTGGCAACATGGTTCTGGACCAGTCGGATCACTGTGGCATGGGAGGAGAGGTTAACATGGCTCTGAACTTGTCCTTCCTGTCCCAGCCCCTCTCCCACACGATCCCTCACCTGGCTCTTTGCCCTGCAGGAGACGTAGCACCAGGCTGGTGAACCAGGGGCTGTGGGTATGTGGGCCAAGGGCTGCAAACCACATCTGCCAATCGAGGCGTGGCTGGTGGGGTATCAGGAAAGAGGGTGGTTGGCTCACATTCCCAGGTTTGTACATGAATTCTATCTCCTGAAAGATGGACATATGGTTAACTGGAATGGCTAGACTTGGTCCCTTTACCCCGACATCCTTTGGGAGGGCTCACTGTCCAATGGTGTCCATCATAGCTGCCCTCCAGCACCACTTCAGGCCGCCCACCCAGACCAGTCATCCGACGGAAGAGGCCATATGAGTTGGCCAGCTGCAGATGTTCCACAGAACTGAACAGGCGATGAGCCCCAGTCCAGAGACGCCCGTGGGCCCCAGGCTCCATATAGGAGTAAGGTACCTGCAAGGAATAAGGAGGCAATAGCTCAGTGCTGCCCCATCTTCCCCCAATCCCATCCTCCACAGGAGTACCTACTAGGCTGATCAAGAACAAGGCCACCGTGGCAACACTCAGGATGGAGAGCTGGATACTGGCAAAGAACTTCCGCAGCCATCCTTGTACCTGGATCCACCTGGGGACAGTGGGCCCAAGTATCATCAGGTCAGGCCTGAGCTGAAAGTAGCCTCTTGCCCTTGTCTTCAGGTACATACATACCTCCAGAGGGCAATAAGCAACTCCCAGGCCAGGGAGGCTGCCCCCAGCCACACAGTAGGCAGAGTCACCATCTTCAGCCACTGGGAGAACTGGTGGAAGGTGAAGGCTGCCGAAGGAGGAGATTGTGATTAGGGCCTGACCCAGCCCTTTTCCTTAGACCCCCAGGTAGATACTTACTGGTTTTAGAGAGGATGATATGCTGCTGCCAGTCAACTTCCAGGCCAAAGTAGTGCACGGTGCCATAGGCCAGCAGCCCATAGACAGTCAGTTCCAGCAGTAGGGATAGCATGGTCAGCAGGGCCTTGGGCCAAGCTATGGGCGAGACAGACACAGGCTGGCTGAGGATCTGCAGCCAAGGGGCTGGGGTAGAGGTGGTACACGGGTTCTCTGGGAATACTAGGCAGTTGACATCAGCTTGGTTGTCATGACAGGACGACACTCACAGGTGGGCACCTTCTTGTGGCCTCTGAGGCCAGGCTCAGCAGATAGATGACGGTCATCCAGGAGGGAAGTGGTAAGCACCAAGGTTAGCAGGTTGAAGAAGTTGTAGTTGCCAGTAATGATAATCAGGACCTGTAATAATACCTGTGGGAAGGTCTGCAATCAGATCTATGGCACGCTGCTCTTCCTGCGCTCTGCTGACCTAAAAACTGATGTTCTCACAAAAGCTACATGTAGCCCTGATCTGAGTGCCATGTCCCTCTGCCTGCAATGCTCCCTCAATAGCACCCTCATCACCTGACCACTCCCAGGGCTGCTCTGTCCTCAACAAGACTCACTGACCATTGGTGAAGGCCACTCTCTTCTACCCACCTGAGCATAGAAGGCCGTCAATCGGAGGCGTCGAACAGGGGCAAAGAACAGAGGGGGCACTGCAATCTCGATGAGGAAGGTGGCCACCACACTAAGTTTGTGCAGCCAGACTGGCAGGTGGTGGGCAAACCAGGCAGCTGGTGTGGGCAGGCATTGTGTCTCGTAGTGGTAGGTGAGAGCTGCAGGTAATGGGTGGGGGTCAGGGTTGATTAGAGCTTCCAGGCCACCCCAGCTTCAGGCCCAGGCCCTCACCAGTGAGTCCCCACCACGCAGGGCAGCGGCTGGTCAACTTGACCACACCAGAGGCAAACATGAGTCGAAACAGCAGCCAGCGCACGAGCCAAAAAGGGAGGTTCTCATGGGGTAAGGTCCTTGCTAATCCACCCTTGTGGTTGGAAGGCGTCTTCAGTGGGGCTACTAGTATAGCTAGGAAGCCCGTCTCCAGCAGCAGGGAATCCCTATAGGGAGATGAAATATAAAGAGTTCTTCTCCATTAAGGCCGCTCCCCTCAGAAGGTCCTCCCAGGAGAGGCGAACATCCCTTGCCCAGCCTCAAGCAGCATTGGCCCAGGAGTCACTCACCACTGGAAATAAAGGAACACTTGGCCCACCTGTAGGGAGAAGAGCTGTTAGAGAGCCATTGTATGTCTGCTCCATCAGGCGAGGCAGTGGGCGGGGTAGAAAGAGGCTGAAGTTCTGAGAGTCTCACTTGCCTGACAGGCTGATAGGTAAGCAGTCCAGAGCAATAGGTAGATGAAGGGGTGTCGCAGAGAGTTCAGGAGCAGGGCACCCAGTGCTAGCATGGTGCCCAATAGGGTCAGTAGATCCAGGCCCTGGGCAGTGTCCAGCCCCAGTCTTGGTGCCTCCCATAGCAGCGTTGGCGTTTCCCACAGCTGCTGCCACCGACCCTTGCCTTGGGGACGCAGTGTTCTTCGAGCAGGAAGGATGCCTTCTGGGCCATAGAGGCCTGTGGGAGGGCATGTCAGTGTCTTCCCAGACGAAATTCAACCGAATTAAGCCCTGAAGATGCCCCCCCCCCCCCCAGCAGCTCCACGAAAGCAGAAGATACCCTTATTGTCAGGGCCTCCACATATTCCCAGCCACGGCTGCTCCCTGCACCCCGGGTAGGTAGGTCTCGCTCTACCAGATGTTCTCTCCCAGGTTAGAAATTGTTGACCCCAACCCTAGGTTCAGAAGACCTAACTCTGGGTCAGCACCTTCGGCTGGAGTCCAGGTAGAAATCTGTCTCCTACACCCTTCGGGGTTCTGCCCTAATCCCAAGTGAGAATCCGAATAGTAACGGGGAACCGACCCTTGCACATCTTTCTCCCTCCACATTCTAGTGGGCCCGCAGAACACAAACTATCGTCCCCTAGTCCCACGTAGAGGCCTGGACCTCACATCGCCTCAGAGAGCTCGTATTCAGGGTGAAAGAAGGGTTGATAGCGCGTGTGAGTGAGTGTTCCACTCTCGGTGCCCTCACCTGGGATCTGGGTGTAGAGGGACACAAAGGCAAACGTGTAGACAGCGGCCACACCCTGTAGGAAGAGCTGCTGTGGGACCCGGGAGCTCGCCATGTCCGCTACGCGGTCCGCCGAAGCAGTGCCCGCTGGTCCCCCCGAGCTCCGCCTCTGGCCCACGCCCCAGCAGGAATCCGTCGGGTTTGGTCACTGCGCTCCACCCAGTGCCAAGGAACTCACCGCTAACTGGCCCGTAAACTTAGTCTCATCCTGTCCTCCAGGCCCCGCCCCGGAGGCGTAACCACGCCTCCGGTGTAGGCCCCGCCCTGTTAGGTCCCGCTCTTTTTCCCCGTGCGCTTTTCACTTTGAAACTGGGGCCCGCGTTGCGTCATAGGTGTGCGCGCCGCGTCTGTGTACGTATTTCCTGGGCGGGAACACCAAAATGGCGCCAGAGCCAGTCGCAGGTTGAGTCTTCTGGCCCTATCCGGAGCTAGTGTGTGGTCCCGGGCCTCTAGTCCCTTTGTGGACATGGAGGATGTGGAGGTTCGCTTCGCTCACCTATTGCAGCCCATCCGGGATCTCACTAAGAACTGGGAGGTGGACGTGGCAGCACAGCTGGGCGAGTATCTGGAGGAGGTGAGGGCGGAGGGGGAATGGCAGGAGCCTGGAGACTCCAGGCGTCATTGCCACCCCCGCCTCCAGGTCTGTAGCCGTCTGGTGTTTTGTCCTCAGTTTCTCGGTTTTTTCCTCCCCCAACTTCATCCTACCTATGGAAACTTTCTTCAGTTAGATTATCTTGGAGCTGTCATTCTTAGGTCTCCACCCGTTAGCGAGCTGTGAAATCGATCTGGTTGGATGATAGCCATTTTCTTCAATAAATGTATATTTTTCTGTTTTCTTTTCGGGGTGCAGTACATTAGGAAGTATCACTTTCGTTCTCTCTCTCTCTTTTGCGGTGCTTGGGATTTAACCTAGAGCTTTGTACAAGCTTGGCAAGCGCTCTATCAGTTTTTGGCTTTTTTTTTTTTTTAATTCCTTTTTTTCTTAAGGCAGGCCTTAAACTCGGAATCTTCCTGTCTCAGTCTCTCGATTATTTGCGAATACTAATTTGCCTGAACTCTGAATTGTATTTGAGAGATCTGGATTCCCGAAGGGAAAGGGATTTATTATATTAGACCTCAAGCTCCGCCCACGCCTTTTCCGTGATGTAGCACGACGCACCCATGCCCGGGGCTCTTTTCTTGAGCCAGCTTTGTCCAGAGGGATCCGCCCCTGGTATGTAGTCCTGCCCCTAGCTGTCATCGAGCCTATCAGCATTTCATTCCTCACATTTTTAGCAGCAGTGTCTAGATCTCTTCAGGCTCTGTCTGCTCCATTTCTGATTTTCACTCCTTGGTCAACTCATTCGGATTCCACAACTGAATAGTCACAGATCTCTTTTCTTGAACATTAGTGGTCTTCATCTTACAAAATCCAAGAGATCTCGAAATGTCCTGTAATTCAGTTGGGGAGCATTTCTTGGTCTGGCAACTTCTTTTTTGAAGCAGTGCTATTAAGATTTCTATTTCACCGTCTCTTTTCGCTCTCCTAAGTGTTGAGTCTCATGGGTGGAGCCTTCTTTCCCTTAAAAATAGCATATCTTACTTTTGTGATTAAAATATGGGTTTCCACCCCATGTGGTGGGATATTGCCTCTACTTGTAAGCTGCCCCAGTGTTGCCTCCAAATCTGTTTGTTCTTATCACTCTCTTGGCATTTTCTGGGATGTTATATGAACTCTTTCATTTTATTTAAAGTGGAGCTTTTGATTTTTGGTTTGAATTCCAGTTCTCTATTTTGGTAAAGATTTTACTGTTTAACTAAAGATGGAAATTAAGAGATGTAACATGGCCTCATACCCCACACCAAGTTTACTTATGAATTCTGTTGGTTATACTGCCAGAGTATCACTTCAGTTTATCTGTCCCCCATTATGTCTGGTCTAGACCTATTATGCCCAGATAGTTAAAACCTCATCCATGTTGCTAGGTTGGATATCATCCAGTAGCTAGTGCAGTGCTTCAAAGTTTAAGAAAAGGAATGGGAGTGCAAGGAACTGGAGAGATGGTTCATCAATTAAGAGCACTGGTTGCTCTTCCAGAGGACCCAGGTTCAATTCTAAGCATCCACATGACAGATCACAACTGTCTCTAACTCCACTTCCAAAGGATTCAATGCTTCACCTGGCCTCCATTAGCACCAAACACAGGAAAACCACAAAATTATTATGATTATTTTGTTTTTGTTTTTTAGAGACAGGGTTTTCCTGTGAAGCATTGGAGCTGTCCTGGAACTTGCTCTGTAGATCAGGCTGGCCTTGACTCACAGAGACCCACCTGCCTCTGCCTCCCGAGTGCTGGGGTTAAAAGGCATGTATCACCACACCGAATGCTACCCATATAGTTTTTTAGAAAAATTAAAATAAGGGCTAGAGAGATGACTCTGGTTAAGAGTACTTGCTGCTCTTACAGAAGACCTGGGTTTGGTTCTCAGAACCCAAATGCAGCACCCAGTGCAGCTTGTAACTCTACTTTCAGGGTTCCAGGAACACTTCCTTGTTCCATGAACACCTGTAGCACATGGTACATATTTAATACAAGCAAACACACATCTTAGGAAGAAAATATAGCCAGGCCATAAGCATGGCTTAGTTCTGTACTGTTCTGTTTATGACTAAGTCTTTTATTATTGCTACTACCTATCCATTTATTTATTTGTTTGTTTATTTATTTATTTTTGAGAAGGGGTTTTTCTGTAATTCTGGCTGTCCTAGAACTCACTCTGTAGACTAGGCTGACCTGCCTCTGCACTTGGGAGGCAAATCTCTGAGTTCAAGGCTAGGCTGTTCTACAGTGCTACAGAGCAAATTTCAGGAGAACCAAAGCTACACAGAGAAACCTGTCTTAAAAAAAGTAAAACAAACCAACTCCCCTCAAAACAAAACAAAACTCAAAAAACCTGGATGGCAAAAGAGCAAACAGTAATTTATGCTTTGAGACAGAATTTCTGTTCTCTAGGGAGAAATTCTAGATACCAAGGTAGGAGCCACATTATTGGCTCTTAGGTGCCTACTTGGTCTAAGCACTGTGTCTTTGTGTTTTAAATAAAGCTTTGTAGTCTTTACAACAAAAACTGATATAGTCACTAGAGAGATTAAATGATATGCTGGAAGTCACAGCTGGTAGTACATCTATTCCTCCCACTGCCAGTATCTGTGTGTTGTCACAAGCTGGTAATAGATTGGAAAGAAAAGGTTGGTGTACTATGAAGACTTTGACTGAGGGACCTGATTTTAATTGAGGTAAAAGGAGTTGTCATGTCTGGTAAGCTAAAACACTTATGTAGAGGGGACATGATGCCTGCCTCAGTGGAAGGCACAAAAGTGCAGCTCATGGGAAGTCTAGTAGCCGGGTGAGACTGGTGAGTTAAGAGATTGCCTTGTTGAGAATTTCATGTCTTTCCCTCTGAGTGGCAGAAAGCCTGCAAAGACGATAGAGGCGAAGAGTGGGGGTCAGGAGCCCTGTTAGAGGTTACATTGGGCCAGAGCAGCAATCATTAGAGAGGAACCTCGAAGTGCTAAGGGCTGATCCTAGATTGAACTGGCAGGTGAGCAAGAGGAGAGGAGCGCAAGTCCTTCAGTTTCTGGCTATGGGTAGAGATGCTTGGAGTTCAGTGTGGACTTGCTCATTTGACTCCAGATTTATAAAAATCTGGATATTTGTCTGGGCAATGGTGGTGTACGCCTTCAGTCCCAGCACTTGGGAGGCAGAAGCAGGTGGATCTCTGAGTTTGAAACCAGCCTGGTCTACAGAGCTAGATCCAGGACAGCCAGGACACAGAGAAACCCTGTCTTGAAAACCAAAACCAAAAAAAAAAAAAAAAAAAAAAAAAAAAAAAAAAAAAAAAGAAAAAAAAATTGGATAATTGAATAAGACAGTTGGACATATGTGTTTTGGCAGCAGTAAGATACTTTGAACATTTCTGTGTGATATCTTGATTTTTTTTTTTTTTAAATTAAGATTATCAGTAGTTACCTGTAAATGAAACCTCAGAGCCTCGGGAAGAAAACTGTTGTGAGGCTAGATTTAGCAATTGTTGACATATGTGTGACTGGTCTCTTGAACAGGGATGGACAGATGCACATGGCAGGTGTTGGGGAGGGGGAGAACCAAAATACTGGTTAAAAGCCAAGGTTCACAGAGACCAATAAGGATTGGAGAGGGAGAACGACTTAAGGCCCCATTTCCTGAATTTCCCAATCAGAGGGCAGAGAGTGCTGCATTTGTCTGTCTCGTTTTCCTTCTCTCAGTGTAAAGGGTCTTACTGCTGAGTCTGGGTTGGTTTTGCCCTGGGTGGATACAGTGTGAAGTGCGAGTGGCCATGGAGGAAGTGAGCATAGACTTCTGCACTGGTACCTTACTTTCTTTGAGACTGTCTCACTTGAATCCTACCTCTATGTCCCAACTGCTGGGACCATAGCCATGCCCACCGAAGTCTAGCTTACTAATGTTCTCTCTTGCAGTTGGACCAGATCTGCATTTCTTTTGATGAAGGCAAGACCACTATGAACTTCATTGAGGCAGCACTGTTGATCCAGGGCTCAGCTTGTGTGTACAGTAAAAAGGTGGGTTCCACAGACTGCTGATTTTTGTGCTTCAGTGTAGAGCGGGTGTAACATGATTAGCTCCTTCTCGGACAGCAGCAGTGTACATCTATCTGCAGCCTGCTGTCACTGTGGGTCACACTTATGATACCTTCACTACTTTCAATGTCAAAGAAAAACTGGAGTCTATTGTTTGCTTTTTTGAGACACATCTCATGCATCCCAGGCTGATCTAGAACACTATGTCTACCCTAAGAAGATGGCCTTGAACTCTGATCCCTTTGCCTCTATCTCCTTGAGTACTAGTTGACAGGTGTCAATCACCATGTCCCAATTTTTGCAGTTCTGTGGTGGTGGGGGTGGGGGTAAAGCTAGGGTTTCATGCATGCTAGGTGAGTGCTTCACCAACTGAACTATATTCCCAATCTTCTTCTTTTTGAGGCAGGATTTTATTAGCTCAGACTGTTTTTGAGTTTGCTCTGTAGCTGAGGCTTGCCTTGAACCCCTGATACTCTTGCCTTTGCATCTCAAGTGTTTGGTAACAAGCATGTTACTGGATGAAGGTTCTATGATGACAGTTAAGGTTGTCATCATTATGATTACAGGGGAAGGGTAGTTAAGGTACCTTCTCCATTATTATATAGATTCTTAGCTGGGGTCATCCTTGTGGTCAAGACCATGATGGGGAAACCCACAGAAACAGCTGACTTGAGCAAGGGGGAGCTCACTGACTCTGGACTGACAACTGGGGAACCTGCATAAGACTGAACTAGGTCCTCTGCATGTGGGTGACAGTTGGGTGTCTTGGGCAGTTTGTGGGGCCATTAGCAGTGGAACCGGTATTTAAACCTAGTGCATGAACTGGCTTTTTGGAGCCCATTCTCTATGGAGAGATGTCTTGCTCAGCCTAGATACAGGAGGGAGGGCCTTGGTCCTGCCTCAAATGATATGACATGTGACAGACTTTGTTGATTCCCCATGGGAGGGATGGGAGAAGCAGGGGCAGGGATGGGAGGAAATTGATATGTAAAATAAGATTGTTTTAAAATTAATAAAAAGGATTTTTTTGATATGGGGTCTTATACTCTAACTCAGAATTTACTGTATGGCTTAGATGTCATCAAACTCAGGATAATCCTCCTGCTTCAATCTCTATGTGCTGAGGTTGCAAGCATATGACACTGCTCTGGGTAGTGAGAATTACTTATAGTAGTAAAACTGGGCTTGTATAGAGGTTTGAAAGTGATGGCCAGATGTTGATATGTACCAGCATCTAATAAGAAAGGCTCCCTCCCCTGGACGGGGGTGTTTCCAAGCACCATTTCAGATAGGCCTCTCCTTTCTGTGTCCTTTCTGCTTGCCAGGTGGAGTACCTCTACTCGCTGGTCTACCAGGCTCTCGATTTTATTTCTGGCAAGAGGTGAGTATCAGAAATGAGCCAGGAGGAAGAGACCTTCATCTTCTGAGCTGAGCCCAGCTCACAGCATGGGAGGCTCTCACAGTCTCTCAGGGTGCTCTTGGTATGTTTTACTTTCTTAGGCGAGCCAAGCAGCTCTCTTTAGTACAGGAAGATGGGAGCAACAGGGCTGTCAACTCAGGAACTGCCTATGAAACAGAGGATGAGGTAAGTTGGGGCATGTGGACTCTGCCCTGGGTGCTTTCCTGGCCATGCTTTTATGAATACTTGCTTTCTCCTGCAGCTTCTGTCACTGGATGACTTCCCTGACTCTCGGGCTAATGTGGATCTGAAAAATGGCCAGGCATCCGGTGTGAGTGTCCCAGCCTTTGAGGTGGGGATAGCAGTCTTCTTAGTGTCCCTCTGTGTAGAATTTAGAGCTCTCCTTCCCGCACCCACAGGAGCTGCTTATCATACCCCTTCTGCCCATGGCCCTGGTGGCCCCTGATGAAGTGGAAAAGAACAACAGCCCCTTGTATAGGTATAACATTGTGCTAGTACGGGAGAAAAGGGCAGGAAGCCTGCCTGGGAAGGGTCTCTGTAGCAAGCTTGTTTTTGCCAATACAGCTGTCAGGGTGAGGTCTTGGCCAGCCGGAAGGATTTTAGGATGAACACATGTGTCCCCAACCCCAGAGGTTCCTTTATGTTGGATCCAGTGGGAATGTGTCCTGTGGAGCCTGTGGATGTGTGCCCCATGCCAAGGAGCCAGAAAGGTAAGGGTTTGGATATGGGGGCTGAGTGGGAAGTAGAAGAAGATCTTTGGGAGATTACTGCTGGGTACCTTATGCCTGCCATCTCTAGTCTTATCTTACACCACATAACCTTTTCCACTGTGGATAGGTTGGCTAGAGCTTCTCTCCTTCATCTTTTTTTGTACCTAGATTTCTAGCCATAGCTCTGTATTGGGGTCTGGTATCTAGTGTCCTCCTTAGTCTCAGGCTTGGGGCCTGCTGGGTTCTGCTTTCTGCTGGCAATCTAAGGAGGCTCCTTTGGCACCAGTGGGAACTTTTTGGGGATAGGGCTGACCATGTCTAATCTCTGTCTCTTCCAGATGCTGAGGGTGCGGAGGAGCAGCCAATGGAAGTTTCTAGGAATGGGAGTCCTGTTCCCGTATTCAGCATCTCCCAAGAGCCAGGTGAGGAGAGAACACCAGGAAGGCAGTACTAGGTGGTACTCTGACCTTGGATGCTCTCAGTTTCCTTAACCTGTCTTCTTTGCTTCCTGTTCATTGGCTTTTGGGGAACAGGCCTAATAGTAGCAGATACAGTCTTATGTTGGCTCTCTGTGCTTGGGTATAGTCATCAGTGAGATTTGCTTTCCTTTGCCTCCTCTGGATAAATGTAAATGGTAACAAAGAATATCTGGGCTGGGACTGTAGCTTCATTGGAGCACTTGTATTGCCATATAAAAAGCCCAGGGTTCAGCCCCCAGCATAAATGCATACGTAAATAAGCAAAGCCTAGAAATAAAGTAAACCAACCAAAGCATGACAGAATGAGGAAGAGAATCCAAAGCCTTGTTCAGGTTTTCTAATGCTGAAGTGTGAAACTGAGAAGAGAGGCTGGTCCAGCTCTTCTAGGAGCTGGACTTGAGCCTCCTACCTGGAAGCTCCACCTGCTGCCTGGCCTCCAGGCTAACTGGTTTCTTGGTTCCTACCCAAACACTTTTCTAGAAGGCCCAGTGCTCAACGATGGAGATGAGGACGCAGAGGATGTAGCAGAACTCCCGGAGGTGGCTCTAGAGCCTGCAGAGCCCAGGACCTCACAGCAGGTGGGACAACAATGAAGCTGCAGAGCTCAAGCTGTCAATAGAGCAAGCCCTGGTTGTGGGGTAGAATTAACATTCCATGACAACAGTGCAGTGGGCTTGGCTCCTGTGTTTCACACTGTTGTTGTCCCGTCCATGTATCCTCTCAGAGGTAGTGAATGGCCAGAAGCCTGGCCATCCTCCAGCCAGACTGTTTAATTGCAGCTTCCATGTCCTTTCCCTCTTGAAGCAGGATGGCAGTTGTTCCTTGAGGATGGACTGGCATTAGGGCTCTGAGCCTTGTGGAGCTCCTAGTACCTGCACCATCAGCTGATCCCCAAGTTCCACTGCTGTCAGGCTGGCATGAGAGAAAGAGTCTGCAGGACTCTGCTGCCTCTTTCAGCCCCATAGGTGTAATCTATCCAGAGATAATTAGGAAATCCTTGCTGTGCAGTGATGGCACACACCTTTAATCCCAGCACTTGGAAGGCAGGGGCAGGTGAATTTCTGTGAGTTCGAGCTCAGCCTGGTCTATAAGAGCGAGTTCCAGGACAGGCTCCAAAGCTACACAGAGAAATCCTGTGTCTCTAACCCCCCCCCCCCAAATAAAAAACAGAAATCCTTATTTACTGAACACAAACAAACTACACACAAAACTAAAGCCCTGAGGCTGGGGATGTTTTTGCATGGAATTCTTGACTAACCTATGGGAAGCCCTGAGTTTAATCCCCAGCATTGTAATATGAATAAATTAAGAAACTAGGGGCTGTAGAGATGGCTCAGATGTTAAGAGAGTATACTGTGTTTTCAGAGGATCCAAGTTCAGTTCCCAGCCTCCATATTAGGCAGCTGATAACTTCACACACTGGGGGATGTGCTTCTGCCTCCATAGACAGGCGTCTACACTCATATGTGCATGGACTGCCTTCCCACACAGAGTTTTTTAACTTCTTAAAAGATTGAGAGATTGAGACAAGGTTTTTCTGTGTAGCATTGCCTGGAACTCACTCTGTAGACCAGGCTGACCTTGAGCTTTACAGAGAGATCTGTCTGCCTCTGCCATTACTGGGATGTCTAAGACTTGAGGCCAAAAGCCCTACAGGAACCATTTGCTCAGGTTGCTTTTGCCATAGCTCCTGGCTATAGCTTTCTGAACTTGATAGTGTTCAGGAAGGGACAGATAGTTTAGTAGTGGGACACACAGCTGTGTAGCTTATCCTACAAAGATCTTAGCCTGCTCAAAAGCTTTGTGAGTCTTTGTGTCCTAATCCCACATAACACTCTCCTTAAGTTATACAGAGGTCCCACAGTTTGTTGGTTCTTATAGCCAAAGCCTCTCCTACTTCATAAAGATCACATGCCGCCATGGTACTCAACAGAACCACTAAATCTCCACAGCAATCTGGAGGTCACTCCTGTGAACATAGTTCTCTGTGGCCTGGAGAACTGGGTGGGGTTCAAGTACAGCTTCTCTTAGTCCCAGTTCCTTTAGTAATGCCTTTTCCTTCTCTATTTTTCATTCCCAGACATTTATGGGGAGCTCAGACAAAGATAACCACATGTTCCTAATGGCTATGATAGGCCAGTGGACTGATTTCCTTTATATCTCAGGTTATGTAGCCTTTGCCTTAAGGAGGGATGGGTAGTTCTATTGCTCATATTCTGCATCCACAGCAGTCAGGCTGATTTCATCCGATTCCATGTCCCACAGCCTCACAAGTCAGGCTGTGACAGGCTCCTTTCCTCCATTGCTTGTCCAAAAGTATTCCCAATTGCACCAGTTTAAGTGCTGACCACCATAGCTTCTTGTACTAGGCTATAGTTAATACCTCTGTCTGCATGCTGGGTCACATATTTTTCCCTTTTTTACTATTAAGGGTCAGACCCAAAGGGTATTTCCTATCACTTTATCCTGTTTTTCTCCTCACTTTTAATTATTTCATGGGTTCCAAGTTCTTGGACCCCAGGAAGGGCTTTTGAACATGGATCTAATTTGTACTTCATCTCCCTTGCAGCCTCCAAACCCTTAGAAATGGAGAGTCAATTCCTCTATCTCGTCTTCTCATTTATCTGATTTACTAGCCAGATCAGAGAGAGGCTAGGATGAAAGATGCTAACTGTATCTCCTATTATTATTGCAATTTATCCTTTGTACAAACAAGTTCTTGCTTGGCTGCCATCTCTGGTTCAGGTGCATTCCTTACTATACACAGCAATAGCCAAGAAACCTCCATGGCTTTCCAATAATTTTTCCCCTGGGGTGTTATTAGATGCAAAATTTCCTCTAAACCCTTTGGCTGTTTTCAGAGCATCTCCATATTCATGTAGTGGACCCCAGTCATCAAGCAGGCATGCCATCCCATACCATATGGATAGACTGTCACCCTGGAATTACTTTGACAGACACTCATCCTAATGGGTTAGCCTTGGTTGCATATCTCCCTACTCAGTGAGAACCATGTAGTTGCTGCCACAGCAAGAATATACTGTCACATAACACATAGGAGGGACAGCAGTATTTGGAAATTTCCTCATTCTTAGGCTGCTTAGCTTCAGTTACATGACTTGTTACCCTGTACATCCAGGACCATGCACTTCTCTCCATTTTATCTTTTATTCTGTCATGTCCCTGTTCAGGTGTCAGAATTTTGTATGACATTCTTTTTGGGGGACTTGTGAACAAATGTCTATTTACCCTAGATAGGGTAGTTAAGACAGATCAATGTGTAAATAGCATCAAAGTCCAATTTGCTGAACTAATGAGAGTTTTATTGGGATTACTTAGAGGGAGGGATATGGGTGAGGTATTACCTATAGGAGCAGAAATGACTCTGAGACACCTGAATCACCAAAGCGCATCCAAGCATATGGGACAGCTCACAAAAGCTGGAAACCTGGAGCTCAGCTTGAAGGCAGCTCAACAGTTCGGAGTGTCTTCATAGTGCGTTGCTTGGTCTCAGCCTCTTCCAGGCAGCTCAGCTTTGTCTGAGGCTCGTATGAGCTTGGCTGGTATCTACTTCTAAGCCTTCTAAGTCATTGGGCTGTTGGAGAATCTTCTCAGCACTCTTTACTGTTTATGTATTCTTGGGGAAATAAGGGCCTAGTGAATCTGGCCAGTTTTAGGAACTTCCTAAAGCTATTTTAAGTTTACTTGATATCTTAATGAGTGTCCCTGTAAGATGGAGTATTTCATCTCATCTTAGAATGGCGGTTTTTATGAGTTTGTTTATTTAATTCAAAGTGATACAGAATTCAGAGTACAACAAAGATGAAACAGCAGGCTCTGGTAGGATTCCAGATTGGGTTACTTTAAATTCACAGCTGAGGTAGGAATTGCTGAACACTAGAGACAATGAGCCATTGTATTATTCATTTTATTAATTTTTTTTACAAGTTTATTATAGTGTACAGCAGGCTCCAAGACAAAACTTCATTCTAGCTGTAGATGGCAAAGATATTATGGCAGGGAATCGAGATATTTAAATAGGAATGGAAGAGGATCAACATCATCTTAGATAGGAGGAACAGCTTACTTTTTGCCAGATTTCTTAATTCCTGTGGCCAGGGGTCCTTCCCTGTGGCCTTGGCTTTTAGCTCCTGGAGTTTCTTCTGCGCCCCTTTTTGTTTCTGCTTGAAAGCCTCATCTTCCTTGTCCCTCTCCTTTGCCTGCTGTTTCAGAGGCTTCTTTTTGTCACCTTCGTGGCCCAACATGGTTCCTACAGACAGGCCCTTCCCCAGAACAACGGTTTTCAACCTGTAGGTTGCGATCCCTTTGGGGGTCCCATATCAATTATCAACATTATGATTCATAACTGTAGCAAAATAACAGATATGAAGTAGTAATGAAATTTTATGGTTGGGGTCACAACAACATAAGGAACTGTTTTAAGAGTCACAACATTAGGCTGAGAACACTGCCTTAGAATATTCTGTTGTTTCATTCCCCTTTTCACATCCTATGTCATAGTTTTAATGTAGGAGGAAACTATTCAACACAAGTGAGTATCACCACAACTGGCTGACTTTATGTGAATGTTGGGGATTGAACTCAGGTCCTCATGCTTGCAGGGCAAGAACTTCTGTCAACTTTTCCCAGCCCCTCCTTAAGGTTTTTTACTTTCTAGTCTCTAAGGAGGGCCCTTGAAAACCATGTTTTTGATGTGAGCCTAAGCAGAATTTCTGGGAACTTGAGAGCTTTGGGTGGACAGGAACCAGAAGAAGACCCGAGGGCTATTTCTTTGCAGAGTACCACCTTGCCAAGGAGATACATGCTACGGGAGCGACAAGTGGCCCCAGAGCCTGCCTCCCAGCTGCAGGTGAGATACCTGGGCCCTGGTAGGGAGGGTATATTCACAGGTATCCTGTCCTGTCTTTGCCCTGGTGCCTTTTAGACCCTCAGCACTTCTTCCAGAAACTTAAGTCCTCTCCCACATAGCTCTGGACCTCTGTGATCCTGGGCTATCACCACTTGTGCCAGGTCTGGTAGGGAGGCCTTGTGCTCTCCTCAGCTTCTGCTTGTGTTTGTGCTCAGGAGACCCCAGACCCCTGGCAGAGCCTGGACCCTTTTGACTCCTTGGACTCTAAGCTCTTCCAGAAAGGTCAGTAGGATTGGTGGCACCTCATTCACATTCCCCTACTAGGGTTACTGAGTTATGGGGTAGTGGATTGGAGGGGCCCTGATTCCCCTCCCCTTGGCCACTCATGAGGTAATCCCTCTCTGCTTCCAGGTAAACCCTATTCTGTGCCACCTGGTGTGGAAGAGCCTCCGGGACAGAAGCGCAAGAGGAAGGGTGCTACCAAGCTGCAGGACTTCCACCAGTGGTACCTGGCTGCCTGTGAGTGAGTGTGGGCTAAGGTGGCATGCCCTTTTGCCCAGGTGCTGGGATTTTGGCCTGGTTCTTGCTAATCCCTCTCACAGATGCTGACCATGCTGACAGCAGGAGGCCTCGGCGGAAGGGCCCAACCTTTGCAGGTGAGGCTGGGGTCCTCTGAACTTGATCAGGGAAGATTCTTTATCTGCCTTTCCTGGTTCCACCCCTATCCTCCCTGCCAGGGTCACTTGAAGTCCTAGGTGGACAAATGTGAGCTTGGGCTGGATGGGGAAGCTCCTCATAAGGTCTTTGTGTGCAGACATGGAAGTGCTGTACTGGAAACACGTAAAAGAACAGTTAGAGAGTCTTCGGAAGCTTCAGAGACGCAAGGCAAGTACCCATAGCGTTGAAGTCTGAGACCCCACAGGGCCTGGAATTTGAGTTTCCTCACAAATATTCTCTGGGCAGATGACTGAGAGATGGCTGCCCAGGGCCAAGGAGGATCTGTGGCCTGTAGAGGAGGAACGCTTGGAAGATTCCCTAGAAGACCTAGGGGTAGCAGGTAGGTGCCATTTGATGTGTGTTTGGGGGGTGCTCTGAGCACCTGCTGCTGTGTGAGCAGCTCCTCTGGTCACTTCTGTTTCAGCAGATGACTTTCTGGAGCCCGAAGAGTATGCAGAGCCTGAGGAGGTGGTGCCTGGGGAAGCTGCTGACTTGGGTAGGTCTGGATGGGGAGCAAGAGCTACAGGAGGGCAGGGTGTGCAGCTCCACTATTGCAGCAGCTCATGATTGGGCCTTTCTAGATGCAGAGGCTGTGCCAGAGTCCCTGAGATATGAGGAGCTGGTCCGAAGAAATGTGGTAGGCCTGGGTCACAGGTGGGAGCAGCGGGCATCCTGGGCCCTGATGTGCAAGGGAGAACCCACTGGTCCTTCTGTAGGAACTCTTCATTGCCAGCTCCCAGAAGTTTGTTCAGGAGACAGAGCTGAGCCAACGCATCAGGGACTGGGAAGGTACTATCCAGCCGCTGCTCCAGGAGCAGGTGAGGCATGCTGTTTGGGAACCATCACCTTGGGGTTTGTTCAGAGATGTCTTCCCATTTGAAGCTAACATGTCCTTTCCCTGTGCAGGAGCAGCATGTACCCTTTGATATACATACCTATGGGGACCAGCTGGTTTCAAGGTTCCCCCAGCTCAATGAGTGGTGCCCTTTTGCAGAGCTTGTAGCTGGGCAGCCTGCTTTTGAGGTGTGCCGCTCCATGCTGGCTTCCTTGCAACTGGTGAGTGGCCTGGGACACACGGGATAGGGAAACACCCGTAGACTCTGCTGATGCCTCGTCTCCACAGGCTAATGACTATACAGTGGAGATCACCCAGCAGCCAGGACTGGAGGCAGCTGTGGACACCATGTCTCTGAGACTGCTTACACATCAGCGAGCCCATACACGCTTCCAGACTTATGCTGCCCCCTCCATGGCCCAGCCTTGAGTGAAGAACACTGAGGCAGGGTGGAAGGTAATGTATACTTGGAAATCTTGTTTCCCTTGGGGCCATTTACTCCAGTGCTGCTTCCTAGCTGGCCTAGAGTGTGGCCTTGCTACCCCCTACCTATTCACCCATCAAACTATTTAAATGGGCTGCAGATAGAGAGCACACGCACACATTTTAAGTACATTCATTTACTGACAGGGCCTAGGCAGTATAATTCAAGGCAGGATGCTACGGAAGGCAGATATGTGCTGACGTACACTATCTACAATCTGTTCTGCTGACCTGCTCCGACTATAGTAGTCTGTGAAGAGTCCGTCTGGGTTAAGCAAATAGATGGCAATGGAGTGGTCCACAATATAGTCCTGGTCCTCATCCTTGGGACCAGCACTGTAGTATACACGGTAGTTGCGACTAGCCTGGGCCACTTGTTCTTTAGAACCAGTCAGACCCAGCAATCTTGGGTGGAAGTCCTGTACATACCGGGCCATGGCTGCCACGTCATCCCGTTCTGGGTCCACAGTGATGAAAACAGGCTGCACCAGGGGCAGGTCAGGCTCTGCCTCCAGCTTCTGTACCACCTGAATCAGCTTTTCCAGCTCATCAGGGCAGATATCAGGGCAGTGAGTGAAGCCAAAGTACATCAGAACCCACTGGCCTCGGAAGTCAGCTTTGCATCGAGGCTGGCCTTTGTGGTCCAGTAGGCTGAAGTCACCCTGGCCCACAGCAGCCTGGCGCAGGGCCTCTGTTCGTTGCTGTTGACGCCACTGTTCCTTCTCAGCTCTTGCTGCCAGCCAGGCCCAGCCCAGCCCAGCTCCAAATAGGGCAGTGATCAGCAGCCTAGTTCTTAGCCCAGGTCCTTGGGGCTGGCTCTGCCCTGACCAGTGTCTGCACTTTACATACAGAGTTTCACCTCCTGGGATCCTGAGGACTGGAGGTTTGAACTGAGAGAGCCTGGGCCAGACTCTGGGCCCTAGAGCCTGTAGCACCATGGATGCGAAGTTCCTGGAAAAGAACAGACAAGATACCTGGGCCTCTACTGCTGGAGAAACTTGTTGCCCCACATCCAAGCAGGTTAGCCAGCTATCTGTACTGGCTTATCTGAACTCAGAACTGCTCTGCCTCAAGCCTTAAGCAGCATCAAATGTCCACCACAGCTGGCTTGCTCTACACCTGTCACTCCTAGTTCTTTAACTAGGAAGCCTCAGCCTCATAAACCCAATGTATGGATAACCTGCACCTCAACTGCCAGGATTCCCATCTGGATGCCTGGAAGCATTCAGAATATGCTTTGCCTGGGCACCAGAGCACATGTGTCTATTTACAATTAAAAAGAATTTTTAAAGGAAGGATGCTGATACTGTGATTTACCACCTTAAGGGGGTAATCCTTTTCTAGCCTCGGGCCACTCACTACAGGACAGGGCCCAGTAGAAAAGCAGTGGCACCAATGTCACAGCTCAGCCCATTCATGCTCAGGGCACCATCGGCCCGTCTGTCCCTGAGCACCACCCTGAGAAGATGGAGCTGGTAAGTATTCACAATGCACCCTTTTTTCTGGGCCCCAGTATCTACACCTCGCACCAAGTGTTCCTAGCTCACCACAATGCACTGGATGAGGCAGTAGCAGCACCCTCAGACAAACTACGGAGGTCGTGTGATCACTGTCCCACCCAATCTCGCCCCCTGGAGGGTTTGCTCAACTGCTGGACTCAGCCACCTAGCTGCGGTGGGCGATGGTAGGTGGCAGAACTAGCTCAGAGGAAAGGGCCTTGAAGCGGCGCGGTTTGACAGCACGAGCGCCTCCTGCAGAGCGCGGCGCTGCTGGCCGCTGAGCCGTCCAGATGTACGCGGAGCCAGGGTGTGCCTGCGCGAGCGAGCAACGAAAGCAGTTACCTAGGTCACAGCGGGCGCGAGGAGTTGTTACGGGTTCCGGACAGCGCTCACCGCGGTACAGCCACTGACCCACGTCGACCAGCAGCTCGGCACCCACTCCCGGCCTGATCGGCTGGTCCGCTCCGCCGCGTTCCGCCCCGAGCTCGTGCAGCACACGGCCCAGCGGCAAGGCCAGGACGTGCTCCACGGTGCCTGGGGGGAAGGCGGTCTCTGAGGAGCTGCGGGAGGACGGACACACGAGGACAGGACCAGGAAGGAAAAGACGCGGAGAGGAAGTGGGTGGGGCCTCGCGCTGGAGGTTTCCGGTCTCACCGTCTGCGGGTGCGAGCAGCTCCTCTTGCTCCCAGGCGTAGGGCAGCAGCTGACGGCATTGCGTGGGGCTCCCGGAGCATAGTGCTCCAGCTAGGCCCGAGTCGACACCCTGCGCCGAAAGCATCAGCTGGAAGCAGCGCAACGCAGGCCATCGTCCAGCGCCGTGGCCTTGAGTTTCCGCCTATCCGCTAAGCCAAAGGGTGGTGCCCCCTGCTGGCGGGAGGGCCGGAGAGCAGAGGCTGAGAGCTCCTAGTATACAGATAGGTGGTCGTGACCACACCCCTCTCATCTAGCCTGATAACCAGGTCCAGTAGGTCCAGTGGCGCCGCGCCATCCAGGCAAAGCAATGCTGCTTCCACTTCCAGTGTATGGCTCACGCTGCGGCCCAGAGGGTTATCCATGGCAGTCAGGGCTGCAGCGACCCGCAGCCCTAGGCCCACTCTCTCGCTAACCTGGGGAGGCACTCAGTGTCCAGCAGGCATGATCAAATTCCATGTCTGCTGTATCTGGGTTAGGATGTCAGGAAAGGCTTGGGGTGGAGATCAGAAACCAAAACTGCCAGGCCTCAGAGGTGGTGGTGTGGGGTGGTCTTGTTCACCCTAAGTGGAAGGGCTATATGGAGGATTTCCCCAGGCCCAAGCTTGGGACAGCCTTGATTAGATAGGGTAGAAAAACTGGAAAGTGGGATTGCCAGTTGGTTCTACCAGGACTGTTGAGTGGGCAGAGGCAGGGATATGACAGAAGGTTCACATTCCTCTATAGAGAGGCCACAGAGGCTGGGTGGTGGTGGCACATGCCTTTAACCCCAGCATTTGGGAGGCCTGGTCTACATAGCGAGTTCTAGGACAGCCAAGACTACATAGAGAAACCCTGTTTTGAAAAGCAAAACAAAAAAGAAAGGCCACAGAGGCCCAGCATGGGATCACCAACATCTTTGCCAGCTCTTGGGCCTGCTCCTGGTCTGGCAAGACTGCAGTCCCCTCAAACTTAACATCCACCACCAGAGTGGACAGTCCCTCCATGACCTTCTTACTGAGGATTGAGGCTGTGGAGAACAGAAACATCGTCCCGGGGTATGGTACCTGGGGACAGGAGATAAAGGTGGCAGTGTCTAGTGGACTGTGTGTCAGTCAGGGTACCCCATCTCAGGTCACCTGTCCACAGTAGCTGTCACATCTCATGCAGCATACAGATTCTATCAGCAGGGACCAACTTCTCACTCTGGCCAACAGTGCAGCAGCCCACTTCCTCCAGCAAGAGCAGTGTCTGGGAAGGACCACTGACCCAGCAAAAGTTCAAAACATGGCCTGAGAGTGTCAGTCATCTGATTCTGATGACTGACCTGTGAAGGATCCTGATTAGAACCTGATTAGTTATGACACATTAATGATTAGCAGCTCATCAGTGTTTTCTACCATTCCCGAGTAATGGTACTGATCAAAGTTCTCTTGATGACTCTGGCCTATCTACAATCAATGACCTTTAGAATAGTCAACACTGACTAGTGACCCAGATAAACGTCCTATCCACTGATCATCCTGTGATTCTCCCTCAACCCAGATCAATGATAGATTAGTGGCCCACCTGCACCTGCTCTGGGCTCTGGGTAACATTGAACCCAGGAGTAGATTTCAGCTTGCCCAGTGTGCCCCCTGTGTGTCTCAGACCATGTCCACTGACCACTGGCACTGGGGTAGGAATACTGACTGCCCCTTGCTGCTCCCCTTGTCCACTTTTTTTTTTTCCCCCGAGACAGGGTTTCTCTGTAGCTTTGGAGTCTGTCCTGGAACTAGCTCTGTAGACCAGGCTGGCCTCTGCCTCCCTAGTGCTGGGACTAAAGGCGTGCACCACCAATGTCTGGCCCTTGTCCACATTTTCTCTCTCCCCTAGTAATAACTTCATCCGAAGTGACTTTTTTCAAGCAGGTAATATTTTCAAATATTTTAAACAGTTCATGTGGGTGCCCAATTGCTGGGAAGGAAAATAAATTGTACTTGGTATGGAGCAATTGTCAGTAGGGAAGGAGCTGGTGCTCATACTGTCTAGGACCCAAATCCAAGGGATGAGAAGAGAAAGACCCAGCTCTTCCTCTGAGGGTTCTGTTAGGTTCAGAGGCAGCTGTATACCACGGTGAACTTGGTCTGTACTGGGGGATAGGACAACCTGGATTCTGACTTTTAAGAGCTTTGAGCCTGGCTTGAGTGTAGGAGGTGCCTGTGAGTGGGTCAGAGATTTGTGGAGGTGGCAGTCACTAACTTGCATCCACATGCAGCCAGGGCAGGTGCCAGAACCAGGTTGACCTTGTCACCCATACCTCCTGTGGAGTGCTTATCCACAAGCTTCTGGTGCCAGGCCTTGGGCCACTCCAGTTGCTGCCCAGAGTCTGTCAGGGTCTGAGTCAACACATGTCTCCTCTATGTCCATGCCTTGCAGCCGAATGGCCATCAGCATGGCCCCTAAATGTGAATGTATGAGTGGTGTTCGCAGAGCATGGATGTGGGCCTGTGATGATGATGGGGTACTATGGATACTTGAGGTGTGTATGGGGCAGTTATAGGGGTCAAAGTTCAATTAGTGTGTCCTGTGCGCTTCCATCCATCACTGCATGCATGAAGCCTCTGATACCTGTTTCGCTCAGATGCCCTCCATCTCGTTTCAGGCGAATCATCTCAGGCAGCTGCTTGGGTTCCCCACTCCCTCTCCCTGAGATGGAACCAGCTGCCTCTGTGGTTGAGGGAGGTGGTAACATTGGAGCTGCCATTGCTCCAGCCTGCAGGGGATATTGAGACACTGCTGGTACCTGGCTCTCTCTCCATGTCCCTGAAGCCATGGTCACTTGTCCCAACCTTGCTCCTGGTGCCCATCACCGACACATCTTTCTCAACACCCAGCACCTTTCCTCCTTCCCGGCAAATCCGGCTTCCATTTCTCGACCTCACAACGACCCCAGTCCAGTACCTATTCTCAACTCAGGGGCCTTTACCAGTTTTCTGGATCTGGTCCAGTTCCGACCTGGCATCCCTCAGCCGGGAGTGAAGTTAGGTGCAGAGCAGACAAGCCACTGACAGAGCTAGTTCAGGTACAGTGGGCAGATGAGCAGCCCCAGTAGGCGGCACTTGTCAAGGTAAGGCCAATCACCACTTCAGCTGCACCCTATCTGCTACCTTATGGCCAATTTGGGGATGTTTCCGGGACCTAAGGGCCAGGACATCATGGTGCTCGGGATCCGAGTCCGCTCTGCCCAGGTACCTGGGCTCTTGATATCTATGGGTCCCCAGCACTGACCTACTGGTCGCTTGGTCCAGACAGTCCCAAAGTTTAGACGCCGCCGCTAAGGCTATAGAAGCTCGCACTCACCTCCTCCTCCCTCAACACCCTCCCCTACCCTTTGCCCAACCACCCAAAGAGAGAAGCAAACACAGCGCCGGCTTGAAAAGCTTTAAACAAACAACCGAGGGCCGGTGCACGCCTGCTGTGCCTGCTGTCGTCAGTCTTCTACGCGGTAAGGTATCATGGGGGCCAGGTAGTCTGAGTGCCTGATCCCGAAGCTCCAGCCACGAGGCTTCCGGTGCTGCGGGCCCAGGAGACACCGTTGACCTTACCAAGCCAGCTGTTCGGCTTCATACAAGGACTCTTGTTTCCCAGGGACCCTGTCTTAGACCTCATCCCCTGCCCCTTGACCCTGAACTCCAGACCACCTCATCCACGCTGTAGGTTGCGGGTCCTGGCTTCTGAGCGCTGTCTTGGGGTACCGAAGTCCGCGCCAGCATCGTGAACTGCGGGGCTCGAGTCTTGTAGACCCCCGGGTTCACAACGTGATAGGCACAGGGGCCTGGGGTCTAGGAGGACAGGAGGAGGGTGTTGGGCCCAGCCTCCATTCCTCAAGCTAGAGTCTCACTCTGTACCCCAGGCTGGCTTTGAACTCAAAATCCTCCTGCCTCAGTTTCCTGAGTGGTGGAATGCCAGGCATTCTTCACCACCCCCGCTTCACTGATTCTCTTGATTACTAGAGATGTTCAGCTGGCAGCCTTTTCCCCACCTTGCTGAGATCCTCAAAGCAGCTGCCCACAGCGCTTCGGCCATAGATGGAGTAAGTTGGGGCTGAGACTTTGCCTATGACACGCGGGCCCAAGAGCGAAGGCACAGTGTAGGACCCAGGGCCTAAGGAGGAGTCAGCAAGAGGTTATATTGGACCAATCTTTTTCCCTTTATGACAGATTGCCGGTTGGGGTGTGGGAAGGCCCCTGATGCTGGATCCAGCCCTCTGGCCTCACCTGGGGTTTGCTGCTTCGAGAGGATGCCCCAGTTTCGGGAAGCGATGGTATGCCGGGGAGCACTGGGGTACGTCGCGTTTCCCGCGCGTTCTGGGAAGTACCTGCCTATGGAATGGACCAAAAGTGTGGGCCAGTACTAGGGCGTGGTGGGGTGAGGTATGGGGAGCCTAGCCTTGGGAGACATTGGAGCTACAGTAAGGTTCAGGTTTCTGGGTTTGGGTAGGAGGCTTCCCGGATTCTGGGTTTGGGTGGGGAGTTTCCCAGTGGGATTCCTGGGAGGCGGTTCCACGTTGGGGAGACCGTGCCCCAGGGTGCTGACCCGGTCCCGGAGTGAGGAAGGGCTCTGTGTGGCTTAGGCGACCGTAGATGGAGAAGGCTGGGGCGCCATCCGTGCCGCGCACCGTCATGCGAGCGGGTACCAGGTAGCTCGGCCCCGGCCCGCAGGATGTGTGCTGCAAGGGCAGGCGCGAGCCGAAGGTGAAGGCGGGTGCGCGCGGCCGAGATGGGTCGTGCAGGATGTAACCTGCGGGAGATTCCCTGCGTCAACTTCCGCAGTGCCTAGCGACTGCCAGCTCCCCCACTCCCCTCCGTTCCCCTTTTCAGGAAGGCAGTCCCAGCACAGAACCTCTTATCTTTTTGCCTTCCTTTTTGCTCCCGGCACAGTCCTCCGGTTCCTGGATTCCAGGTACCAGTGCAGACCGCCCACAGTCCCACCTTCCCTATTTCCTCCCGGGTATCCGCCCTTGCTACCGGTGTTCGGTGGCAGCTTGTATTTGGGCCCCGGGCCTCTGTAAAGCGCCGCGATGGGGCCGCGGGGTCGATGTGGCCGCCAAGTGCCGACCCAGACTTCTGAGCCCATGGCGCAGGCGGGGCCGCTTATGGTTTGCAGCACCTGTGGACGGAATTTGTGGGAGACACTCTGCCCTAGCTCCACTCAGGACTAGCACGATTGAGGGCAAGGCTTAACACGTATCCCAGGGCACCGGGAAAACAAACAGTTTCCTAGGCTGGTAGGCGGGTGCACAGGGGCAGAAACGAGCTTCAAAACTACCTCTGGCCTCCTATCCCAGGGGCTTCAGAGCCAGTTTTTAATTAAGCACAGGCTGAGTTTGGACCCAGACATTGGAAAGAGAATGGCCTGGAGTTTCTGGGTGGGAGAGGCGAGGCGTTTTAGAGGTGTCAGGAAAGGATGTCTTGGGGAAGGGGCTCTCTAGGAGCTCAGGGCGCTTGGAGGGAAGGTCTGGAGATGCACTGCACTGACCTGCTGTGATGGTTACCCTCTTGAGAAAGCAAAGCCGGGCGGCTAGACAGCCCTCTCATCAAACTCTCAGACCCCATTATGTCCCATCTTGCTTCCTGGCAACCAGACCAAGTGCCTAGCCCCACCCTCCCAGGCCTTCAGCCATATCATGGCCTGCCACTGCTGAGACTGTGTGCTGGGTAGACATTAGGCTGGGCCACAGGCCAGCACACTCATTCCATAATTAGACAGAAACAAAAGCCAAGTTTAAGAATAAAGGAATGATACAGAAAGGTCAATTTAATTATGTAATCCCAGGAAATATTTGCAAAAGCTAATGTTATGGGTCAGAAAATAATACCAGTTGAATAGAGAGACAGCATTAGATCACATTCCAATACAGATTCCCAATGAACAATTTCTTAAAAGTAAACAAAATTAAAACTTTGGGATTAAAAAACCTCAAACCTTGAGTTACAAATGATACAAAATACTTAATACTTCAGAGGAAAACCATATAGGATATAACTCAAATTGTATTCAGAGAAAAATTTATAGCCCCTAAGATAACCTCAGTGTTAATAAAAATTTTAATGTTAGAATTAATGTTAGAACTTAGAATTTATTCTACAAGTGTGTGTGGGAACCAAAAACCAAACCAAACAATGCAAAAAAAAAAAAAAAAAAAAAAAAAAAAAAAAAAAAGGAAAGAAACAGTAGTAGAGTAAGCCTGTAGCTCCAACCTCCAACCTTCAGAGTTTGGGCAGGGGGAATGTCAAGTTCAAGGCCAACCTGGGATACATGGCTCAATAAAAGCAAAATGAAATGCAACAAAAAGATAACTAACAAAATAGGTGAAATGATAAATATCTATTTGTAAAAAGATGACACTTCAGGGAGCTTGGTATAAAGGCCAAAGTAATAGCCAACAAAATTAGACACAGGCCAGGTGTGGTGGCCCACACCTGATATCACTGTACTAGGGATGTGAAGGCAGGTAGGATCTCTCCCTAGACCAAGCTGGCCTCAAACTCACAGAGATTCACCTGCCTCTGCCTCCCGAGTGCTGGGATTAAAGGCGTGCACCACCAACGCCAGGCTTCTTCTTCTTCTTTTTTTTTTTTAAACTAAAAACAGGGTCTAATTAAATAGCTCTTGCTGTCCTGGAGCTCACTATGTAGACCAGACTTGCCCAAAACACATGAGATCCCTTTGTCTCCCCTCCCTGAGCCCCCACATGGCCCTCATTCTTTGTGGGTTTGTTTGTGTTGGTTTCTGCATTCACTTTCCCCTTGGTGACCTTCCTCACTCTTTAACTGCCCTGCATCTTGGGAAGCCGTGTGGAGCTGACAAGGTGCTGACTAGCCCATAAAGAGGTACAGGTATTGGGCTGGAGAGATGGCTCAGTGGTTAAGAGCACTGGCTGCTCTTCCAGAGTTCAATTCCTAGCAACCATATGATGGCTCACAACCATCTGACTGGTGCCCTCTTCTGGCCTGCAGGCATACATGCAAGTAGAACTCTGCATAATAAATAAATCTTTAAAAAAAAAAAAGGTACAGGGAAAGTATCAACTATATCTGTGGAAAGTCCAGGGTCTGCAAACTTACCTACAGAGTTACAGAATCAGAAACTGGGACAGAGAACAAAGGCAGGAAAGTCCTCTGCTAGTTGAAGTCCACCTTAAGGTGTAGGGCTCACCCTAGCCTCTTACTGTCACTTAATAGTTCAATGGGAAGCTGGGATGGGACCAGGCCAGATGAGATACTTGAAGCAGAGCACAGGCTAGGTGCCAGGGACGTTCTGGTCACCTCCTTGATGCCTAAGTCAAGGAGTCCTTGGGTCCATTGTGTTTCAGAGGAAGAAAATGTTCATTTCTTGTTGGGACAGGTACCTTTATTCTGGGGACTCCAGTCTCTTTTTCTAGGAGTCTGGTCTTTCCTGGTAAATGTCTGAAGACTCACTTCTGATATGGATTTTAGTGATGAGTAGATAGAGAAGCCCCTCCCAGAAATACCAAGCACTCATGCCTAGTGGAGTACGCCAGCCTGTGAGAACTAACCTGGGTGAGGAGGGGGATGGAGTGTGATTTGTTTCAGTTAGGGAAGGCTTAGGAGTGAGAGGATACCTAGGAACTAGACTGGTAGAGTACCTGGAACAGAGAGGGTTTCTGAAGGATATAGGTACAGGTGAATAAAGTGACTGCAGGAGAGGCAGGCTATGACCTGAGCTTTTCTGAGGCACATTGGGCCAGGTCAAGAAGTCAAAAGCCAGGAGCCTCTACCCACATTTAAATTAGGGTGGAATAAGCCTGGCCACAGAGGGGGAGATGTAACGTTTAGATTTTCTTCATTCTTTCTCAC